AACCGGGGCCCTCTGGTGTCCCAAGCCAGCTCTTAACCAACGTGCCACTCCACCGGCCCAAGATGATCTTTTCTTAATCCCTTTTTCTTCCCCCAGTCCTACTGCCATTGCCTGTGTTCAGAACTAATCATTTTCTCCAGGACTGTTGTAAATGCTAGTTTCCCTTCCATCAGACTCTTTCCCTACCTATCCATTTTTTTAAATGGCTTTATTGAGGTATACAATAAGCTGCACATGTTTACAGGGTACCATTTGTTGGGTTTTGGCCTGCGTATACCCGTAAAACCATCATCACTGTTAAGATAATGGATATATCCATCACCCCCAAAAGCTTCCTTGTGCCACTTGGTAATTTCTGTCCCCACCCCTCCCACCACCACCCGCCTCCCTCCCACTGTCATCTCCAGGCAACTACTGATCTGCTTTCTGTCACTGTAAATTAATTAGAATTTCCTAAACTTTGATATAAGTGGAATCATACAGTATGTGCTTTTTCTTGTTTATCTTCTTTCACTCAGCATAATTAATTTGAGATTCATGTTGTGTGTTGATAGTTCATTCCTTTTTATAGCTGAATAGTAATCCATTGTATCACAGTTTGTTGATCTGTTCACCTGTTGAAAAACGTTTGGGTTGTTTTCAATTTGGGGGCTTTTACAAGTAAATCTACTGTGAACATTTGTGTCCAAATCCTTGTATGGACATGTGCTTTCATTTCCCTTGGACAAATAACCTTGGAGTACAATGCTGGGTTGTATGGTAGGTGCGTGTATATCTTTTAAAGAACCTGGCCTTCTCTTCCAAGTGGTTGTGCCAGTTTACATTCCCACCAGCAGAGTGTAAGGTGCTAGTTGCCGTATGTCTTTGCCAACACTTGGCATGCTCGGTCTTTTTTGATTTTAGCTCTTTTAGTAGCTGTGCCGTGATACCTTGTCGTAGTTTTAATTTGCATTTCCCTAATGTCTGATGAGGTGGAGCCTCTTTTCATGATGTCGAGCCTCTTTTTATTTTGAGATGATTGTAGATTCATACTCTTTAACATGTCATTGCATTGTCTATATTCATATTACTGAGTTTTGAGAGTTCTTTGTATTCCAGATACAAGTCTTTTTATCAGATAAGTGACATGCAGATCTTTTCTCCCAATCTGTGGCTTGTCCTTTTACATTCTCTTAATAATGTCTATTGGTAAGCCCCAAGTGAAACGAGTATAATAAAACCTTAGAAGAGAGCTGATGGTAATGCCATTTGGGTGTACTTAAAGAATCTTAAAACAGAATGTTGATTCTGGCCATTTTATATTGAACTGCAAATGGAGCCTTTTCTGATCCGATTGTTTTTTTCTTCATCTTAGACGAGGAGTTGTGTTTGGTCTGTGGAGTGCCTGTGCTTCAGTGGGCAATATTTTGGGAGCGTGCCTAGCTTCTTCTGTACTGCAGTATGGCTATGAGGTAGGTATTTCTTTCTAGCTTTATCTTGAGTATATAAATAAATAAACTCTGTGTGTGTGTGTGTGTGTGTGTGTGTGTGTGTGTGTGTGTGTGTATTTAGGAAATAATACTGTGGCCATTTAAAACAACTTGAGCTGTGTCTGGGTAGGGCAAGTTTTGTGTTAAAAGTAAACAAACTTCTGATAAATTCAAACACATGAAAACATGATTCCTGGAAAAAACACCCAAGTCTAAAGACAAATAATCAATTGGGAAAAAGTATTTGCAATTTGTGTTACACTAAAGAGCTAATATATAAAGAGAGCCCACAAATTGATAAGAAAAAGACCAAAAACACAGAAAAAGATAAAGGATTTGAACATGTAGTTGATGAAAATAGACTAGAACTGGCTTGTAAACATAGGAAAAGAAATTCCACTTCGCTCTTAACTTCGTTCCATTAATGGTTACGAAGCTTTTCCAGGTGCCCCTGGGCGGTAGAGGACAGACACTGGTCAAAAGGGACAAAAATCGCTGCCCTTATGGAGCTTAGGTGTTAGTCGGAGGAGAAATGCAAATTAAAACTACACCGCAAAAGAGAATCTTCACCGAATAGTCATTAAATTGGTAAAAATCCAGAAGTTTGAGAACATATGTGTTTATGAGGATGCGAAGCAATAGGCATTGCAGCTGGGAAAGTACATGACCCCTCTTGGCGTCAGTGTGAGACTGCCTGTCAAAATCATAACTGCCCAGCCCGGCACTTCCACCTCCAGGGATTAATCCTACAGGTGAACATACTCCAACCCGCACACAGTGATGTACCGTATTTCCCCATGTATAAGATGCACCTTTTTTCGAAAAATTTGGGGTCTGAAAACTGGGTGCGCCTTATATAGTGGTTGTAGATTTCAAATGCCATAGATGGAACTGAGGACGAGGCAATCTATGAAGACAGTGATTTGTCATCAGACAGGTGAGGACAAGCTAATGGTTGGGAGTTTTGACTGTGATGAGGAGTTGTATGAGTTTTATGATGAATAAAACTTGAGTTCAATAACTTTATGTAATACATTTTTTTCAAATTTCGGACCCCCAAATTAAGGTGTGTCTTATACATGGGAACGTCTTATACATGGGGAAATACGGTATCTACGAGGTTATTTATGTCAGCATTGATTGTCACAGCAAAACATCGATGACGGATGTGAACCCAAAGGGCCGTAGTTAGACTGACGCACCTGCCTGTTTAGTGGCATGTGTGCAGCTCTGGAATAGAATTGGGAAGCTCTCTGTACTGACAGGGAAAGATCTCAGTGGTGTAAATTAAGTGAAGAGAGAAGGGTGCACGGCAGTGTAAATTGAAGGCTGCCATTCGTGTGAAGTGGAAAAGTAGACTATATATTTGTATTTTCTTGTATGTTTCCAAAGCAATCTCTAGAAAGTATTGGGTTGTTGGAAAAGTCATGACGTGTTTTTTCTATGTATTTCGTTGCAAAAATGCCTCATGACTTTGCCGACAACACAATAAAAATGAAATAACAATGGCTACCTGCTGGGAAAATGAGGGTTGAGTGGATGGGAGAAGGGGGTGGGAGGGAGACTTTTGACTCTACCTCCACTTTGTGTTGCTTGAATCATGTGAATGTGTTGCCTATTCAGAAACCTAAATAATTAAAAGTAGGTAAGTTGCTCTTTAAAAAAGTAGATGAAGTTTTAAACAGCTGTCTGAGAGTTTTGGTCTAGTCAGGGTCAATGGGAAATCCTTCCTGTGTCATGGTCACCTTCATTGTGGGCTTCTTAGTGTCACGCCTGGATTGTACCATTTGGTTCAGATAGGAATTTCGGTTCACCCAGTGTGATGCTCCCAGATTTGTTTTCTGGAAACACGAATTTTGTCACTGACTTGTACAAAAACTCAGATTATCTGTCCACATCAGGCTCCATTCTCTATTACATAAAATTCAGCCATGCAGCCTGGCTTTGGAGAGGCTTTACTGTTGACATCACCTTTCCAAATGTTTTATATTCCCTGCTGTCTCCCGGCAGAAGCCCTCTGCCTCAGCGGTGAGGATGGCTTTCTACCTCATTCTCACCTTGGGCCTTTGCTGGAAAGATGGTCAATTGCTTTGATTGTGAGCTCTTCCTTAAAGCATTGTGTAGCTACTTCAGCCTCTTTAGCTGTTTCTGTCTTCTAAATCCCTATACATGGCTCTTACCAGGATTGGGCCTTCTCAGCTACATGCTGCCTTATGTTATTGTTTTGTTTATTATCTAATCCCCTCAACTGAGTAGAATATCTTCGAAGGGCAGATACTGTGTCTTTTGGGAGGCTGTGTGGTGCAAAGAATGAGATTTTGGAGCTAGTCCTGATTTTCCAGTCATAATAGTATCACTCAGTGTGCAGGGGATCTTGATTCTCCTCTCTGAGCCTCATGGAAAAATTAACGGGAAAACCCAAGTAAAACACAGTTCAGTACTGGCACAGACTAAGCGCTCAGCGCTCACTTTCTTCCTAGCCTCCCAGTCCTCCCGCCCCATCCCTCACCTCCCACCCCTCACCTATGCCTCTAATGAACATCCCAGATGTGTAAGAAGCACCTTCCCTCTCTCCAGTATGCCTTCCTGGTGACGGCGGCTGTGCAGTTTGCTGGTGGCGTCATCATCTTCTTTGGACTCCTGGTGTCACCAGAGGAAATTGGTGAGGACAAGCTGCTGCTTCTGTTCAGAATGTCTTACTATTAGTGGGCGAAGAGAAATCGGAGGCCAGGATAGTCAGCCTCTTCTTTCCTAGGGGAACTGTGAGCTCCTTTCAGTGAACTAAGGAGCAGCATTGCTGTTTGTGTCCTGTGTCCAGCTAAGCCTGACACAGCTGTACTTGTTTGAGGGGAGCGAGGCTCACCTTTTATAGATTCAGGGAAAACTCACCGTTTGCAAATGAGTTTTACAATGGAAACACTGGTTAGAAATGAGCATGGATGTGTTTCTAATTTCACTTCTTAAGACTGATTTCCTTTTTCATAAAAATAATTTAGTGTTACTTATCTGTGGTTAAATATAGAATATGTACAAGCAAAACCGCAGAAGCAAATAGATGTACAATTCTAGCTTTTGAGTATTAAGGAGACATGCCAGTTTAATCGTATGTAACTATTATTTGTATATAAGAGAGATGGTGTGATTTAGTTGTAAAACTATTGCTTTGAAGCCAGATAAAGTCTAATAGAATTAGAGTCCTTGGTTTGTTGCTATGTGACCTTAATAGACCGTAGTTGACCTTGGCCTCTGAACTTTGTTGGGTCTTCTAAAAACTGGAAGTAAAAATAATATCGACCTCATAAGTAGCGATGCATGCAAAACCCAGTGCCAGGCACCCAGAAGGCATTTTATCAATGGTGGCTCTTACTATTGTTTTAGGTCTCCCTGGTATTGAGGCGGAAGAAAATTTTGAAGAAGACTCGCACAGGCCATTGATTACTGGTGCTGAAAATGAAGATGAATATGAGCCTAACTATTCAGTCCAAGAAGGCAGTGCTATCACCCAAGTCAAGGCAATAAGCTTTTATCAGGCTTGTTGCCTTCCTGGAGTTATACCGGTAAGGAGCGTTCAACTCTTCGCACAGCCAATGAGATAGTATAGCCTGGGGATGAACTCTGTCTGGGATGAAGCATCTCTAAGAACTTAGCTTCTTGTTGATACTTTATTTTAGAAATATATGTTCAAAAGAATACGGGATAGTGCCCCTCAGCTTATTTTTAGATTGGCATCACTTGAAATTTTATCTGATATCTAACACGGGGGTCAGCAAACCTTGTCTGGGAAGAGCCAGANTGGCATCACTTGAAATTTTATCTGATATCTAACATGGGGGTCAGCAAACCTTGTCTGGGAAGAGCCAGATAGTAAATGTTTTCAGCTTTGGTGGGGCCGTACAGTCTCTGCCACTTAACTCTAGAGCAGCGGTTCTCAACCTGTCACAGGGTTCGCCTAAGACCATCGGAAAACACATATTTTCGATGGTCTTAGGAACGGAGACACTGCTTCTCTATCCGTCTCCAGGCCCACATACGAGTACCCAGCGACCCCTGTGAAAGGGTCGTTTGACCCCCAAAGGGATCGCGACCCACAGGTTGAGAACCGCTGCTCTAGAGCAAAAGAAATTGGACAACATGGAACAAATGGGCGCGGCCAGGTTTGGCCTTGAGCCCTGGTTTGCTGACCCTGACGTAGTATTCGGGTAAGAAGGCAAAGTTAGTATTTTTAAGTATAATTCTTTTTGGCCTGTTGCAGTATTACAGTTATATGTCAACTGAGAGGGGTTTGGAATGGGTCATTGAGCCTGCCTTATTTGCTGATATTTTAGGAAGAAACCATGTTTGCTCTTTTATTAAAAGATCCAGAGCAGAGTACTCCACAGTATTTCTTGGTAATGCATTCCAGTGTTTCCACAACCTTGACAGTCAGGAGAACATTCTAACGTCTAAACTAAATCCCTTCTGCTGCAGTTTTTCTGTCTTGGTGTTTCGGGCGCTCTAGCGCGGGAGTGGAAGTTGAGAGGCCTAGGTTATGTTTCCAGCTTACCCACTAACTCTCTGTGAGGCCTGGGGTAAGTCACTCAGCTCCCCTGTGTCTCAGCTCCCCTCCCTGTGGAACAGAAAGTGTACCATCTCCCCTGGGGTCCGGGTCGGTGGGTTATTGCATCGGGAACACGTACTTGTCTTTGTTTCTTGTTCAGTGGTGCTTTCTGAATGTAACCCCTTAGCTAGATTCCCAGTTTGCAGCTTGTCCTATCTGGTACTTAACAGTTCTTTCTGCCTGTGCCCCCAAACCAGCCAAGAGAACTGACATTTGCCAACAGATAGTTAAGTCGGAGTTAAAAATGTAAGTTCCCATGACGCCTCAACCAAAAGACGATATATAACACAAGCAAAATGCAGGTTCCTTTAGGCCTGTTCTTATGCTAACGGTTAGTATTTTTTTAAACTAGTTATTAAACTGTTCGGCTGGTAATAGTTTCATGTCCGAGACAGAACTTAAATTTGTTGTGACTGAGTCTGGAATCTGTTGCTCTTCCTTGGTATTTCACAAGCTATTGTTCCACGACATGGGCAGGGACGTAATGGAAATCTAGTTAATTTCATTCCTTTGTCTTTGTAGCAGGCTGTCTGGACAAAATGCACTCATGACTGGGCCTTGGCTCTCTGGGGGGTGGCTGTTGCCTGGCCAGCAAAGCTGTTTTAGAGCAAGTCATACCTAGGGAATAACGGCAGCTCCAGGGAAAAGAACATACTAGCCAGACCCCCTTTGAAGTCAGTCTGTCTGTTCCTCCCCTTTCCCTTTGATGCTGAATGTCAGGATGTCCTGGTAATAATGTGTTGAATATAGGAGTCTTAGCACCACTGCTGTCTTAAGGCAGCTGCAACTTTTATTCCTCCAAGTAGAACCACGAGGCCCAGGACAATCACGTTCTTTCATTTCTGACTCACCAGGGATACTCTTTGCTTTTCCACTGGGTGTGGGAATGTGAAGCTTTAAGAAACTATAATGTGGAAGTCGTTTTCACATTGATGCTTTTCTTAGGCTTTGAAACGATAGTTGAGTCATCTTGTTCTCCAGCGTTCCTAAGATTAACTTTGCAGGAAATAGAAGAACGAAAATAGTTTGGCTGCTTACAATAAAAGCTGTGATGTTTACTGGATTTATTTGCTTGTGGTTAATGCTAGCTAACGGCATGAACACCTTTTGTTTCTGTCTAAATAAAGAAATGGGACTATGTGCCCTGCCTCATAGGTTCAAAACACTGGTTTGCTTCTACCGGAGAACTGAAAGGAGAGGAAGCTGGGGACAGTTAGGAAATGGTCCCGTGTGTCTTCTATTCCAAAGGCCTGCTGTGCATGCCTTTCTGGAAGCTAATGGGGACAAAGAAAAGAGGGACACTAGGTAGAGTCAGGCAAATGGGAATTTGTAGAAATGTTTAACTTTACAATCAGGTACAACTGTTCGTCCCAAACTCCTCGATTTTGTTTTGCTTTTTAATTACATTAAAAACTGTGGTCACGCTCTGCTGTTTGCGCCTTACTGATAGTTGAATGTTTTCCTTGCAGTACTCGCTGGCCTATGCCTGCTTGAAGTTAGTCAACTACTCCTTCTTCTTCTGGTTGCCCTTTTATCTGAGCAACAACTTTGGATGGAAGGAGGCCGAAGCCGACAAGCTGTCCATTTGGTACGATGTTGGAGGAATTATAGGTAATACCTGTGATGCATCTTTTTCTGTCATTAAGAGTTCGTTTACTGGGTTATGAAATCTGGTATTATTTAAAGTTTTATTACTTACTCCACAGCCGTTTTTCCTAAACGGTCCTGCCAGCAAATAGCCAAACTCTTAAAAAAAAAAATCTGTAGAAAAGACAGCCTACGACAGTCCTGTGATTTATGGGCTCTTATTGCTCAGTCCTTTGTTGATGGGTCAGTTCTTTGTGTTGGGATGTTTCCCTCTGTGACCTCTTTCAGTGTAACCCTTTGGTACTTTTCCTAGCTCTAGAGCCAATTGTATGTCAGAGATTGTGAATGTGTTCATTTTCTCTACGTCTCACCTTTCTCACCACCTGCAGCCAAACAAGGGAAAATGTTAGTTTACTGTGTAGATTGTCAGATCATAGAGGCAGGAATAATAGCAGGGATTAATTTTTGTGAGTATTTTGCAATTGCTTCATACGTAGCCGGTTTTAATAGCAACTTTTTGTTATAGCTGGAAATATAAACAGGGAAGTAAGAAACTTTTAAATAAGACAGCATATAGAATGCATTTTAGTGGGTGTGACTTATCTGGCTATGACAAAACCTTAATATCCTTTCTGTAATGTTTACATTTAGAATTGTGGTATGACTAAACTGCCCCAAGCACATGAAAGCACCCAGTGTACCTTTAGGTGATGTACTGTTATTGTATTTGAACTTGTCTGCCCTTGTTCTTAGATTCAGAGCCAGAGATGAGGTTGCCATCTTTAGACCTGACCATACTTCTGTGTCCTGCTGTCTGGTGGGGATGTAGCACATGTCCCATAGTCCTTAGAACTCAAAATAGAACTGTATCCAAATGTAACCATGTTGCCTAAAGGATTCATAGCACCTCTTTTTAAACCTCCTGACCTGTTAGTTATTCCCAAACCGTAATTGTTGCATTCAATTTTAGTGAATTATTTTTTGGTTGCTACTTATAGCCTGTGAGGCATGTCTTTAATTAATCATATTTTTCAATATAAAAGCAGAAAAGTCAGGAAAAGCCTTCACAGCTGGTTTGAGATGGGAAAAATAGCAGGGGGCAGTGGGTGGTTATGATGATGTTCCCTTTTCCCTGTGTTGGCGTCTGATTTGTGGTGTCCTGTTCCAATCAGCCATCGCTGATTCAGTCAGGTAATCTTCCTAAAAGGAAATTACAAAGGAAACTTTTTAGGAGAGTCAGCCATCTTTTTGGATGGACCAGGGTTAGGATTCAGATAGCAGCAGGTGGGGGTGGAAGGGGGTACATGATGAGCCAATTTCAGGTAACCGAGCTGAATTATAAATGATTTTGACTGTGATACATATGCCCTTTGTTTTTAAAGGTGGAACTTTACAAGGCTTCATCTCTGATGTATTACAGAAGAGGGCACCAGTGTTAGCCCTGAGTCTGCTTCTGGCCATTGGGTCCCTCGTTGGATACAGTCGTGAGTATTCCCTTGCAATTAAATTGTTTTTATGGTCTTTCAGAACTTCTGCCTTGAGTCAGTGATCAACCCTGGGGAGCTCCTTGAGGCCAGCTCCAAAGGCATGATACAGGACCTTTGTATCATCCTGTAGATGCCGGGTAAAAGGATCATCACGTAGTTTTATTTGTGTTGGGGAGGAAACTGGCATCTCTCTGGCTTTGTTGGTTTGTTTAAAAGCTTGCTTGGGAGTGTATATGCTTTGTTTGAAGGTAGGCTCCAGAGGGACAGCATTAGAGCCAATAAAACAATAAAAGGGAAAAGGTTTCAAAAGAGGAAAGATGGTAATTAGTAGGTTGGGTGTATGTCCCTTAAGATGCTGCTGAGATGGGAGTAGAGTTTTTCTGTAGCTTTTAGAAGTCTCATTAGTTTGAGCGCCAGCAAGAGGCAGACATTACAAATAAAAGTTGGGAGAGGCCGTGAAAGAGTTGCACCCCTTTGTTGTCTCAGGGCGTGATCGGTGAGGTCAGAGACCCAGGCCCCTGTGTACTGTTCAGTGGAGGCACGTGTCATGTCAGCATGCTGCTTCTGTGTCTTTCCTCACAGGCTCTCCAAACGATAAGTCCATTAATGCACTGCTGATGGCCATCACAGGTATGCATCCGGCTCCGTTTCACTATACTCTTTGCTCTAGAAGCAGAAAGGGAAAAAGGAAGCTGATGTCTCCTTTACTGTGAGTTATACTAACACCTTAATTACGGAGAACTCACGTGGTCAAAGGAAAGACGCCTCCTCCAGATTCTATTTCTCTGCCATTATGTGACCCCCTCGGCCCTGTTGTTCCAGAATCAGTCCCTTTTTAAAAATTTTTTATGTTTTAGATTTTGTTGGGGAGCAGTGTGTTTTCCGAGGACCCATCAGCTCCAAGTCAAGTAGTTGTTTCAATCTAGTTGTGTGTGTGGGGGGGCACAGCTCAGTGGCCCATGTGGGGATCGAACTGGCAGCCTTGGTGTTATGAGCACTGCGCTCTAACCAACTGAGTGAACCGGCCACCCTAGAATCAGTCCCTTTTGATAGACTTCCTAACACTTTGATTGCTGCCCCAGCTTCTCATAGCACTTCTGGAAGTGGCTTAGGAAGGTGCCACTTTGGAAACCAGTTCAAAATGTCCAGTATAGCCAGTTCTTCCTCCGGTGTTGGAATTGGTCACTATTTCTTCACTTCAGCACCAGATGAAGTAATAACTGCAGTTAGGGACCATGTTATAGAAAAATTTTTTATTTTAAACTTTAGATCCTACTCAGCATAGTGAGAGCTGCTCATGCTATGCGAGGCTCACAAAACTGATTCCAACCGACTCCTGTGAACAGATGTACACGGGCCAACTCCCCGGTCCTTGGATAGCGAGCGTTCTGAGCGCAGGGGCAGATATAAACCACGTTTAAATAGCCTTTTTTCTCCTCTCTCTTTTTCTTCAGTATGTGTTGTTGAATTTGGTGTTCAAATGCTCTGTGATGTACCTCTGCCGGAATAGACTCTGACAAGCTAGTACAGTTCTTGATCAATGAGTGAGGGCACACTTCACAGATCAGAAGGCTGTGTGTTCACAGATCAATGTGTGTTCACTACAATTTTTTTATTTTTGGTTTCTATAAAATATACTGGAGCGTCATGTAATTCAAGAAGGGATTTCAGAAAAGTGGATGGTAACTAGTTTGGACATGATACTATCTGGGAAAGTTTTCATTTTTACTGGTGATTTTTACCCCTTTTCCATTTCTCTCCAACATCCTGATTAAAATCACGGAATAAGAGTTTTCTTTATTCAATAGATCCGTAGTGGGCTATGAATAGTGTTTTAATAAGAACCTGTTCTATTTATGGCTTCAGGATTTTTTATTGGTGGACCTTCTAATATGATTAGCTCTGCTATTTCTGCGGACCTGGGTCGCCAGGAGCTGATCCAAGGGAGCAGTGAGGCTTTGGCGACCGTCACCGGAATTGTTGATGGAACTGGGAGCATTGGAGCTGCCGTGGGCCAGGTGAGAGAGCGGGAGAGGGGTTGAAATTGAGTGTTAAGCAGTCCTTCACTGGTGGAAGAATGTACACCTGTCCCGGCCACAGTAGGTGGCACTCTTGGGCTGTAGTATACGGTACTGAAAGCCTGGGGGTGTTTAGTCTTCTCTGAGGTCCAGCTGATGTGACCTCATATGGAAGGCCCCTCTGCATTTTTTAGCCACTTCTTTCCACTTGTACTTCCAGATTCTTCCTGTCTGGAAATAAGCTAACACCTCATCAGAGAGCTCCTTCTGTCTCAGCCCGCCATCCCCTGCTTCCCAGCCCTGGCACTCCATGGAGGCCACGAGACACATGCTTCTCATTATCCACCCTCCCCCTTCCACCCCCCACAATCACACTATACCAGACACACACATACACACGCTTGGCACATGGATCTCCACCAGAAGATGCCATGGGCTCTACAGCTGCTCTGAGTCGCTTTCTCGGCTTCCTACAACTGTGTCTCAAAGGACAGTTCATAAATGTCTTCTATCAGAATCACCTGGGGTATCATTAAAGCACAGAGCACTAAGCTTACTGCAGACCTACCGGGTTAGAGCCTCGGGGTCTGCATTTCAGCAAGCCTTCCTGGTGATTCTTGCGTACTCTAAGATTTGAGATCTCGGCTACGATTGGCCTACTGTAGGTAGTTAGAACTATTCAGATTGATCTTTTTTGCTTAAATGCAGCCTTACCACAGAAAGGCATCTCTTGTCTGGGACTGTCATGACTGATGCCTCTCCTAGGTCAGTGCATGCTAATTTTGCAAAAATAAGGAGTTGAGAATCATCTGCATGGATAAAATAGTTGAAACTATGGAAGTGATGAGATGTTTAATGGGGAAAGAGAATATAGGCAAAACCTCTGGAGATGCCCAGCGGTCAGAGAAGCAGGAAGCCAGGATCTGAGGAGGTGTTAGTAAAATCATAGATGTAGAGAGTTCAGGAGAAAGAGAATAGAAGGAAAAAGGCTTGTAGTTTTGACATTTAGGTCATTGATGGCTGTTTGCTTGCTCAGTGGGAGTGGATCACTGATGTCTACTTACTAGTGGTAAATGAGAGAGTTCGCACTGAGGAGAAGAAACCATCTTAATACTCACCGCAGCCATGTATTATGTATTCATTTGTTAATGTCTGTCTCTCCCACTACTGTGGAAGCTTCATGAGGACAGCATTTTGTTTGTTTCTCCCACTGCTTTAGCCCCAGCACCAAGAACAGTGCCTGGCACACAGTAGGCACCCAGATACTCGTTGAGTGGTTGTAGAACAAACAGTTGATAGGATTGATGTGCTTAACATATTTGATTATGAAACGAAAGGGGAAAAGAAAAACTTAGCGAAGGTAGGAGAAATTGCTTACTTGATCATTCCCTGGAATAGGAACCAAAACTGCTCTTGGCCACCAGTTCGGATGTCTTCATGTAAGCAGTAAGGAGTGACTATCAGGCATCCTTTTCTGAAATTACTATAGTAAGTTATTCTTCCTCACTGATGTTTTCTTCATTAATCAAATGGGTGGATTATAATTAACATTTCAGGGAGTTTACTTTTTTTTTTTTATTAAAGATTTTTATTGGGGAATTGGGGGGATGGGAACAGCGATGGAGAATTGGGGGAAGGGGTACACACGGTAGCCCATGGCAACCCATCTGCCGTCGCCAGCGACTCATGGCAGCCCAGCTCCAGGTTGAGCTGTTGTTCAGCATCCCAGCTATAGAGGGCAGTGTCACTGGCCCTCATATGTGGGATCCGAACCGGGGCCCTCTGGCGTCCCAAGCCAGTTCTTAACCATCGTGCCACTCAGCCGGCCCTCAGGGAGTTTACTTTTATTTAGAATGTCTCACCTACCAGTGTTCAGATCCCTAACCATGAACTTGGGTACTAGACTGACTTGTGGTTTGGGATGCAGGATCAGAAGTAAATCATTGTTAACTTTACTCATTCCCCTTCCGTGTTGAACTTGGAGTGATTTCCCATTGCCTGAGGTATGAAACCTTAAACTCCATGACTTAATATTAAAAACTCTTATCAGCCTTGTCTCCAGCCACTCCCCTAACTCGCCTTGAATAACCTTGTTCCTCCCACCTTTATTTGATTTCCCAAGAAAAGAAATTGTTTGTTCCTCCAGTTCGGATGGTTTCTGGTTTCCATAGCAGTTGGTGCACACCTCTAATAGAAAGAACACTTGTCACAGTGTGTCACATTTGCTGGTTTATTTACCTGTCCACTGTACCAGACTGTGCACTCCTCTTCATCTTGTTCCCAATGCTTAGTACATTTTTGACAAATAGCAGTGGCCCAATAAGATTAAATTGGAGCATCTACCTAAGAGAAACGAGAACAAATGTCCACATGAGCACTTGTACACAAACGTTTATAACTGGATTATTCATAACAGCTAAAAAGTAGAAACAATCCAAATATCCATCAATTGATAAATGGATAAATAAAATGGATGTTCACATAACAGAGTATTTATTTTTTTTTTAAAGATTTTTGTTGGGGAATTGGGGGGATGGGAACAGTGCTGGGGAATTGGGGAAAGGGGAACAGACAAGTTGCTGTCGTTTTGTTCTTCAGTCTAGTTATGGAGGACGTTGCTTCACTGGCCCAAGTTGGCACCATCATTGCGCTCTTCCTGGGCGAGGCAGATCAGTCAATGGCTTCTGGACGGCCGCTCACTGCGGCTGCTGGCCGCTCACGCTGGCTGCTGGCTACACACGGTAGCCCATGGCAACCCACTGCCACAGGGGCTGCAGCCTACGCCGTCGCCGGCGACTCACAGCAGCCCAGCTCTAGGTTGAGCTGTTGTTCAGCATCTTAGCTGTGGAGGGCAGTGTCACTGGCCCTCATATGTGGGATCCGAACCGGGGCCCTCTGGCGTCCCAAGCCAGCTCTTAACCATCGCGCCACTCGGCCGGCCCCAAAGCCAGTTCTTAACCATCGCGCCACTCGACCGGCCCTCACATAACAGAGTATTAATTGGCAATTAAAGAGGAATGAAGGATTGATACACCGTACAACATGGGTGACCCTCAAAAACATTATGCTGAGTGAAAGAAGCCGGTCACAAAAGACCACATGTTGTATGTAATTTCACTCATATGAGATATCCAGAATAGGAAAATTTATAGGGAAAGAATTTTTAAGCCAATGTTCATTGCAGCATTATTCACAGTAGTTGAAAGGTGGAAACACCTCAAGTGTCCATCAGTAGATGAATGGATAAGCAAAATGTATATGTATACGATGGAATAATACTCAGCCATGAAAAGTAATAAAGTTTTGACACACTCTACAACATGGTTGAACCTTAGAAACATGGTAAATGGAATAAGCCAGACACAAAAGGACAAATACACGTGATTCCACTGAATGTTAAATATCCAGAATAGGCAAATTCAGAGGCACAAAGCAGATTAGAAGTTACCAGGGACTGGGGAGAGGGGGTAAAAGGGAGTTACTGCTTAACAGGTGCAGATTCTGTTTGGGGTGATAAAAAATTTTGGAAATAGATGGTGGTGATGCTTGTGTTACATTGTGAATGTATTTGGTGTTGCTGAGTTGTACACTGAAAAATGGCAAATTTTGTGTTATATATCTCACCATAATAAAAAAGAAAATGGGTTAAATGCTATCAGATCCTTTCAGAATTGAAAGTAAAGTAAAAGAAAAGAAAGTAAAGTAAAGTAACATGCTGTAGAATGTTAAAGTCACACATAATCCTGTGAGCAAACAGCATAATTGAAAACTGAGCGGTATACTTAAAAGACAAACTACTTTTGAAAGCATCAATCATAGTACTTTTCACTGGAAGAAAGAATGGTTAAACGGAAGTGACTTGTGTATGTTCATCTTCCTCTCTTAATAGCAAAGTGAATAGAAGTAAATAAACCTTCTGGACTCGTATCTTCTGTTGTGCAGTTTTTGTATTTGAACTTTGCCCGCTTACAAAACGAAGGCCATTATTAATAAAGCTTAATAGGAACATGTATGTGAAAGAGTTTGTAAACTGCAAAACATGCAAATCCTAACTCCCTTCTTATTTTCTAGAAGAGCCACATTTAATCTACCTTTTAGCTACTTCATTTTATTCATATAATATATGAATAAATATATAAGGATTATATTGTAATTGTTTTTTCTCTCTTTTAGTATTTAGTGTCTTTGATCCAAGACAACCTAGGATGGATGTGGGTTTTCTACTTTTTCATTCTCATGGTAAGTGTGTGCCCTCACCCCCACCCCCACCCCCACCCTTTTTCTAACTAGTAGGTTTTCTTATTCATTTAGTTCAAAGCATTGACTTAAATTAATTCTTAAACCAGCAAAATTGCTGATTGCGTTTAAAGACCCTTTTGTGAAAAGTAAAATTTTATTAGTCTAAAAGACACATTGCTTTTCAAAGAGAGAAAGAGCCTTTAGTTTGCCCTTGACCTGAGTCTAGTGAGTATTGTCATTTGTAATTCCAGAAAAATGACAAGAGAGTTATTTAAAGTATCACTAACCATCAATCAGTGTACTCTTCCAGGGCAGTCTCTATCTGCTAAATGTAATTTGGGATTTCTGAAGGAACTTACAGTGTACATCAAGCCATGTACTGTTAAAACAGAAGCACTGCTGTGATTAACACTGTGGTGTGCAGGTTCTAAACGGAACCTTGAGTCGCTTGAGAAAATTACTCTTGTGCCTTAGATATTCCTGGCTGGAATTTTGTACTTTCTGGGAAATAGCTGGCATAGAATAAGGCCTTGTGCTTTAAAATGTTGCTCTGTTGATTAAGCCTGTGACATACATGCTCTGTCACATGATTGCTGAGATGGTGCGAAAGTCTCTACTTGAGAGAGTCCGGGGACAGCCTCCCCTACCAAGGGATGTGTTCAGTATCCTGTCCCTAAACTGAGGGCACCCTAATTGGAGGCAGCCTCAGTTGTCCCCAGTAGAGACACAGTCTTGTCCAAGGAGTCATGGCGCCCATTGGGCACCTAGAGTTCCCTGGTGCTGCCTTAAGGCTTCCTTCTGTACTCCGCTGGCACAAAGGATGCTTTTTCTGCCTGCCTGCCTTCTAGCTTCTAAGGAAGTTACCTCCTGGGTCATGTAACTCTGTGTTCAACTTCTGGCGTCCACGCTAAGTAGAGGGAAATAGCTCCTGATGAACCTGCTGTTACGATCATCCTAGAAATCGTGATAGAAAGAAACTGGATCTGTCATAAGAAACACTTTTTAATCTGAGCACCAGTATCAATTTTCTGTTCCACCTCTAGCGAATTATTTAATTTGTGTACCTTAGGTTTTTTTTTTTGAGACTGTAATGTAACATTAAGTATTTTATAATATTTACTGTAATTTTCAAAATCATTTTCTAATTTATTGAAGATTAAGCTTTGTTTGAAGTCAAAATGAATATAATTTTCAAATTCATTATATCTCAAACAATGCTCCAACAGAATTAATGAAATTGTTGCTGCACATTTAATGCTTTTTTTCTCTTCACAGACAAGTTGTACAATTCTGTTTATTTCACCATTAATAGTGAGGGAAATATGCTCTCTTATGCAAAGACAACAAGCTCACATATTGAGTGAGTGACTGGTGCCCACAAAAGAACAAGAACGATAGGAGACACATCAGGACAATTATTTCTTTTAATTCATCCTATTTTGGGCTTGTCTTAAGAGCTCCAACATAACCTCAGATTACCGAGCCTCTTTCAACAGTCTTAGCCGCTTGAGATGCTGACCAGAGTGGAGGCTGGGCTGTTTTGCTACACTACAGAAATTGTCGCCGAAGATTTTTATTGTTTCATGAATGTACAAATGGCCTATGAATCTGCCAGTGTCTTCGTTTGGCCTTTTGAGGTCAGTTCCTTTAACCTTAAATGCTCTGTTGGACTTGGACCCTTGTTCCTAACCTGGGAAGCTAAGTGACAACGCAGCAGCCATGCATGCTTATATCAAGGACGGGCTCCATGAATAGAAAGGCCCGTTGCATTTTGCTTTGGTAATGAGTTTGCAGACAGTGGCTCATCTTTGAAACATCAAATCCTGATAAAGCTCTCAAGCTGGACCCAGCATAGCCAGCCTTGGACCAAGAGCGCCTTTGTAAACAATGGTGGGAAAAATCCTCCTACGTGCTGATTGGCTCAGCCACTCTGCATCCGCTCTAAAGTGGTTCAGGTCCAGAAGCAGAAACATCTTCAAAGCGTTGTCAGCGTGTTCTCTTCCATTTTCATCAGCATTAAATAACTGACTCCTGGAAGCATTTAGTCAGCCTTTCAAGGACCATAAGGTTGATGAGTTGTCGCAAGCATTCCAACGGGTAACCCACAACTGACGTACCCAACCCCTGATTTGCTGTCTGGGACCTTCAGGCTCCACAAGAGAGCTAATCCGCGCAGCCTTGTTTTCAGAGGATCGATCTGTGTCACAACCGAATTCCCTGAGTTACCTCAGTAGAAGACAAGAATTAGAGAAAAAGGAAAGACCTTTTGCCCTAGTAAGCATTAGGTGTATGATGCTGAATCACATTAATGGGTCATTAAGGCCTGAGGGGTATCTAGGTATCTATTCTTTAGAAGTTTGTAGAGTATATACATCTTCATGGCTATGAATTCTATACAAATGGTCAATATTTTAAGGTCATTCTGTACATATATTTTAAATTATGTAAGCAAATGTGGGGGGACATGTGCAATTTTGAGGGCTGCCTAATTTGCATTGGGTTAGGGAATATTTTTCAACCTCCTGCTTTATACTCTGAAATGTGGTGTGTTTGTGAATTGTTGATGTTATTTAATCAAGCAGATTTTCAATCAGTTAATTAATTGCTTATGACTGACAAAAAGGGAAATGATGAAACACAGGAGGGGTAAATAAATTGACTTTTTATAATAAATATCTGTCCATCTGGTTATTTAAATATCTATGCTGAGCTCCGCGTTTTCAAATGAATGTGATTCATGCCTTATGACTTCCTGCTATTGAGTGTTCCCGAGTGACCGCTCACTGACCACAGTGTCGCCAGACTGTACAGCTTCTCCCCTTGTGGGTACTGGGATGGCCCCATTTCTGTTCTGTTCTGTGAAAGCCTTCCCTTCTCCTTTGTGTGAGATTGTGCTAAGGTTAGATGAGTTGTCTAGTTGTAATTTAAGAATCGCCTGTAGTGAACCCCATTTTGATTATTTAACCTCTTTCTGACATTTGGCTGAGAGTCTCCTTCCCCCCAACATAGTCGGTATGCTTACATCTTTGTACCCCAACACCGACCATAGTTTCCTTATCCAGTTCAGCCCTGACCTCTCTGTAGCCCCCAAGCTGTACCTGCAATGAAATTATAAATAAAATATTGGGTTGTCAGAAAAGTTATGATGTATTTTTTCTATGTTTTTTGTTGCAAAAATGCGTCATGACTTTTCCGACAACCCAATAATTGTTCAGCACTGAATGAAATTATGTGTTGCATGATGGCTGTATTTCTTTATTGCTCTAGTTCTGACAGTCTACGTGAGAATTAGCTTAAAGGACTCCTAAGAATTAACTTCACTTTTTCTTTCTTTTTTTAAAATATTTTATTGGGGAGTTGGGGAAGGGAACAGCGTTGGGGAGTGGGGAAGGGGAACAGACAAGTTGCTGTCCTTTTGTTCTTCACTCACGGTAGCTCACGGCAGCCCACTGCAGCCCCACTGCAGCCTACACCATCGCTGGCGACTCACGGCGGCCCAGCTCCAGGTCGAGCTGTTGTTCAGCATCTTAGCTGTAGAGGGCAGTGTCACTGGCTCATGTGGGATCCGAACCGGGGCCCTGCTACTCAGAGCTTGCGCTCCCAAGGCAGCTCTCAACCAATGAGCCACTCGGCCGGCCCTAACTTCACTTTCTTACTGATTATTTTCCCCCCCTTGATGAAAAGGCTATAGTGAGGCTTATTTGGAAATGGAAATGCATTCTTCTCCGACAGCTTGATCTCTGATGCTCCCTAGGTTGAAATAAAATGCTCTGGCCTGCCTTTTCTTGTCATACATTTTCTTTTCCGCTTCCGCTTCCATACAGTTTCAAAGGAAGAAAGGCCTCTCCCTCTTCCTGCTCATTCTGTTCCTTCCTGCTTCTTGGAGGATGGGAGTCCCAAAGTCAGCATTCATGCAGGAAATGCCTGAGGGCCGTCTGCGTGCAGCGTGGTGTTCAGAGGGATGGAGAATACAAGATGCTTTCATCCTCTCTTTCCCTCCTCCTTTAAAACCTCCAGAAGTCCTCCCTGCCTCCCATAACTGATAAAGCCTTTTCTTATCTCTACTAGTTCTTGTGACTCATGGCCCGTTTATCTTTTCATGACCAAGTCCTCTGAGTGGATAATCTGCTGCCTTCCTGGCTGTACTAACTTCCTCCTCACCTAGGTAACTAACTGTAGGTCTGTCTGCGCAGGACAGTCCCGGTTTATGCCTGATGACCAGACGTAATTATCAACAGCACTTCCCTTTGCTCTTCAAGTGTCTCCATTTGGACGCCTTATCCTTAATCGCTGACCTTATTTCTCATTCCCTGACAGAAGGTCATAGAATTTGGAGATCTTTTATTGACATTCCTTATCTTTTTTAATCCTTCTCTTGCACTTGACACTGGTAACCACTTCATCTTTCCCAGGACTTTTTTCCTTCGGTTTCTATGGCATTTTAATTTTTTTGAATCTCCTCACCTCCTATCCCTTTCACTGGATTCTCTGCTCGCCCTCTGCTAGTTTTATTTCTACAATAGGTTGAGCTGTTATAATCTACCAATAGCTCTGTTAAATACCTCGTGAGAAAGAAACCATAAGGAGCGGTGTGGTATTTGTTAAATGCTATCTGGTGTATAGTTACCAGCGAGTCTCAAGGGAAATGGGCTCAAGTTTTAAAACCTAAACCCCCATCCTGTCCCCACACAAACCACTCTGCCAATTGTCTACATGAATGGTTTTCGTTTTCTAAAGTGTCATGAAACCGTTTGAGAATCTGAAAGCCATCGACTCTCTCCCTAGATCAAAATACACATAGGAACAAACATTTGAAATTTATTACAGGATGTTCATGGGCCCAAACTTGAAGCCCATCCTTGGACCACACAGTTAGAAACCTTGGTGAGAGAATCAAATGTTACCTGGTGCGACATTTTCCCCTCTCCAGCTTCAATCTACTTATTGCATCTCCTACTGCCTCTGCACGAATCTCCTACAAAGTCAGACTGGTCAGCTTACTGTTGCTACGAACTGTTGTTACCAAAAAAAAAAAGTATCATCTTTAAAAAAGAACATTAAAATTTTTTTCAGGAAGCACCTGTTTTTTGTATTCTTAAAAAAAATGTGGACCGGCC